TTCTGGTCGCGCGCCGAGCGGGGCCGTGTTCCCTGCTGTGTTGCCGTGGGGCTGGGTTTCTCTCGTGGTCTTGTTTTGTTTTTGGCCTGAAATCCACCCGAGGGTGTTGCTACTGTGGGCCACTGGGCAACAGAACCCCCCGCGCCCAGCGCTCGCCGCGCCTGCCTGTGGCTCCTCACTCTCCAGGCATCCGTTGGCTACCTCACCCCTGTTACCTCATCTTAGACTCCGGTGAGATTTGGTGCCCTAAAAGATTAATCGCAGAAAGACACCGTTTCCTTCAGCCTCCCATCCAGAAACTGACAGCACCTGGAGCCAGACCTCTCTCAGCCAGGTTTTCACCGAAAGACTAACCCCTTTCCCCTCTCCTTCTCCACAACGGCCCCACCTGACATTGCTGCTGCCGCGCAGCCCGCGGAAACCTGGCTGACTGTTTCCCTCCAAGGCAAGAGTGAAACATTTCAATTCAGCTAATACCCGTGTGTCTGTCTTCTCCGGACCAAGCAAGCATGGAGACAGGAGATACAAGTATGAATCGGATACATACAGTTTCTGCCTTCCTGTAGTTCAAAATCCAAAGGATCAGAATGTACCCAACCGGTCATGAGGCAGTGTGATTCATGCTATATTAATGATATGAGCAAAGTGACTTACTCATATACTTTCTAGCCTATTAAGATCTTTAGAATTATACCCCTATTAACTAAGGTTTTTGCCCTTTTTTATTTTTTTTATTTTTATCTTTTAGGATTTCCATAGAAGGCATTATAGAATAAGAGCCCTGGGCCTACACTAGGAGTTGCTGTGCTGGGTATGGAAGTTTGGCACTCCGATCCATTCCTCCATTCCTGCCTGCTTCCAGCGTGCCCTCTTGTTCATGAGAAACTGGAAAGCTGAAAACATTTCCCGCACTCCCTTCCACCTAGAGTTCTGGATGTAAAATCAGGGTCAGGCATACAGATGACTTGCCTGAGATTTTGAAGGCGGGGGTGAGGCAGAGGCCATCTCCCTGTTATTTTTGGCTGTTTTCTGTTAACAAGGAAGGTCTAGGAGATGCCAGTGTCCAGTCTCCAGAACTGTGGATGTGGGCAAGGACTTAGAATGCCAGTGTCAGCCAGACTCGGCGTTGTTGCGCTGAATCAACGGTTCTGTAGCTATCAAGCGGCAGTTGAGGGAGGTGGCGAACGTATTCTGTGCGCCCTGTCCAAGCAGCTTCCAGATCCCAGCTTCTCGGGGTCAATTACAAGTGGTGTTCTTGAACTCCACAGTCCCCGTGGGACCTCCTGATTGTGAAGAAAAAGTACATCCTTCAGTTGCTCAGTTACTCATATTCTAGAAGTCATTCCTGCAGGCCCAGCCTGGACCCTGTACTTCTAGCCCTTTCAACAGTTCACTTAATTCCCTATATAAAATCTCTTTCTGCTTAAAATACTTGGAGTGGTTTTGGTTTTCTGCTCTCCCTGACCAATATGTTCACTATGTAGCCCCTAAGAGTCACCTATATCTAATCTCTCCAGTTTCCTTAGATGAGAAAGTAAACCATGAGGTTAGATCCAGAGGTTGGCAGTGATGTGAATTCCTTCAGCGGGGCTGTGCCTTCTCCAGTGACCACAGACCCCGTGTTTGAGTTTGGCCCTGAAGGCATTTGAGTTTGTTACCTATAGACTAGATTATCTCTTGAAGTCTCTTGCTCTACAAGTATAATGTAAAACATTTCTTTGTTTAAAACATTTACAGAATATGTCTTGTCACAAGAGATTTTTGACTGTCTGGTTCATGACCAATTATTTATTTGCCCTACT